AATACCGCAAGAAGATAAGTAAAATGACTTGTGCTTAATTAATAGACTGAACGATATGGAGTGAGTTGAGCCACCTGCAAAAATGAGGCGACGCAACTAATCTTTTCTTATTTTTCGAATTAAGTATTGTTTTTCGTGTCTACCAGTAAATCAGTAATATGAGGTGTATTCACCCAATTTTGCTTAAAGTGATGAAGGACTGGTAGAAGAAGAATGTTCCCACAATGATATGAGTTGAGCTGAAGTTTCCATTGAATTTCACATAGCCTTGCTTGCCCAAAAGTTGTTCTTATCCCGGCACCAGTCGACTGCAGTTTCGACCTCACATCGGTCTCATCAACACCCTCAGCGGGAGTCGAACCGTGACAGTGCAGGACGGTAGCTAGACACGCTAACCACTCGACTACACTGCCACGAGTACCCTTGAGTCACAGGTCATAAGTGAATTTCAAGGAAGGTCAGGCCTCTTTGCCATATCATATTCTTTGGTGGAGGTGCCGATGAAGCAAACATTTATTTGCTATAGCAATCAACTAAGTTACCTTTTTTCGTATTGAAGTATAGTTTCGAGTCTATCAGTAAATCAGTAATATGAGATGTATTCAAGGGGATTATACTAACCTATAATCAGCAGCATTACGTACGAAATTGTCAGTACTGAAATTTTCGCTTACAGATTTAACTCAAGTAAACCTGGTAAACAGAGTTAAAAGTAAATTTTTCAAAGAATCTGATTAAATGGGCAATATTCTACATGAGTTCGATGCAGCCACAGAACGAGACAGCAAAGTCATTGCTGGGATGGAGCAGATTTGAGAGCTATTCGTTCGTTTCAAGCATTCGCCCAGAATACATGAGATGAGTGCAGACGATAAAAGGGCCTTCCCCAGCTTCTGCTACTGGTCTTAGCTATCGATGAGATGGTACCAATGGGGTAGTGGACGAGCCTGAGCTGATGAACCGAATTTATGCATGTTTGTCAATCAGAGGCCCAAATGAAGACAAAGAGGAGCAGAGATACGCCTGATTAGGAGGTGGATTTAGCTAACGTCGTCTCGGGGCAAAGTTGAAAACTGGAGGCCACGCCCTAGCAACTATCTAGACGCCAAGACTACCAAATGGGAAAGTGACTATAATTTAAACCCATTTATTATTTAGCAGGATAAACCGATTATTAAGTAAAATATGAGCCATTTTTTTATCGGTTAATCAGTCTTCCAATAGAGAAGATAGTGGGCTCAGGAATACTGGGTCAATTGTATTAATTGAAGATATGAAGCCTTTTTTGTGATCGCAGTCTCCATTCGTTGTCTTCGCAACTTGGTCATATTGGTAGGGAGACTTAGAGGAACACACCTTGTCCGGAGTCCATTGTATGCATGATCCTTTCCAAAGTAGAACCGTGGAGGTGGTACATTCCCAGACGTTTCACCGGCATCGTAGTCGTCATCGTCAGTCAGTTTTGCCATTCTTAGCACCATGCTGCAACTCGTCTTGTCTCTTTGTCTTTGTCTTCCTGCCAATATGACCAAGTTGTGAAATCAAGGTCAAACATCCTCAATTGTACTAAACTCCAACTGCGAGTTATCAAATATTGGAAAGCCTCATCAGCTCCAAGTCTAAAAGGAAATACGCATTCTAGAAATATTTTCTTGATGGAATTTATTCCTGAAGTTTGTGTTGCCTGGCTAAATTCGTAAGAATCATGTGATCCCTGTCAAATCGAGGTTCTAAATCTGGCTCAATCATACACATGCCAAAAGCTTACAAAATATTTTATTGTATATTCCAGAGTAGCATAAGCCACTAAATGCTATCAGCCTTAATAGACAAAATTAACTTAGCACAAGGTAGTAACAGGACAATTGCGTTTGCCACTAAATGCATGACAAAAGTTGGGCAAAAATTCTTCAGAAGTTGTTTAGAAGTTGTTTGACCTTGTTTTTGCAACATGGTCATATTGGTAGGAAGACTTAGAGGAGCGCATCTTGTCCGGAGTCCATTGTCTGCATGAACATTTCCAAAGTTGAACCGTGGACGTGGTACATTCCCAAACGTTTCGCTGGAATCGTCAGTGCGTATCGCGATTCTTAGCACCACACAACGACTCGTCAAAGAGACAAGTGAAGCCGATCCTTTGATCAAACGTGTGACTGAATGATAGACTTAAAAGGAGGCAAGCTGTTGAGCCACAAAAATGGAAATCAATCTAATTCTTCTGGCCGGGTCAAAATGCAATTATCTACATCTAACAACTTCATATTAAATAAAAGTCACCACAACACTTTAATTCAGGATGCTAATCAAGACCCACTTACATTCCTTATAGTCCTAGCAATTCGATAGACCGTCGCTAGCTAAGCAGCCTATTGATCTACTTCCGATCTCAAGAGACAATTGCAAAATGATGATCTCTTATGGAATGCTGGGTAGAATAAATATTCTTTAGTAGACCCAGCCTTCTAAGCAAACTGCCGACACATATATTTCACCTGTTGATCTCAATTCCATTTCGAGTGGAAGTGTTCAGTGAATAGATTTGAAGGTCGATCCTATCAGAAGACTACGGTGAATTCTACTTGACCAGCTATCATTTGGCTTTACTGCAACAATCTGATTAAGGCTGTTTCCGAGCCCATATATATATATATATATATACGTTACTTTTATGTTCTAATCACATTCAGCCATCACTGCTGGTTTCAGAAATGTACAAACACATTAATGAACATAAACATAGATAGATAGATACACTCACATGCTTTAAGTTTGACATACTACTTGAACTAACCAAGCTTCTTTATATCTCATCAAATAGCTTAGATCTATACAGCATTTATGGATAGACCGGTGAGTTTTCTTGATTCATTAGCTTGGATATGGTTGTAAGAATGACATCCTGAGCTGAGGATATATGACAAATATGAGAGACGAGAGCTTAGCATGTTTTCACCAGAATCAAAAGATTGCCACAGAAACAGCGTCAACAAGAATATTCCAGTAAGTCCGATTGATGACTGATCATGTGAAATTCTCCTTCCTCTTCTGATGGGATCGACCTTCGAATCTCTTCATCAAACACTTTCACTCAAAATAAAAGTGCGCTAAGCAATTATAAACCAAGAGATACTTCGAAACCCAACATTCTCTCGAATATATTTCAATCTCGCCTATTAATTGGTTGACTGCCTAAAATGGCTTCACTATCACACTGGTCAATATACCGCACACAAATAAAATTATCTCTTGATTAAGGTTATGTATATTTCCATCTAACTTGGTACCATAATTTTTCACATTATTTATTGTTGGCATTGATATAGTCACCTTTAACCCTAACTGTGTGGACCCTTTGGGAAGACGAGCAGTGACTATTGCAATAGAGTACGACCAGATTGAGATACTGGCCCTTCTGCTGCGACATAATTTAGAGCTTGGAGATGCCCTACTTCATGCAATCAGTGAAGAAAACATAGAGGCTGTTCATATGATCGTGCAAGCTCAAGAGGATAGGCACGCGGAAAGGAGTACAGAGGTGAGATTTTTTCATTTATGTAGCTACATTTTCTGTTATACCAACATAATCATTAAGTAGACTCAACAACAGACAATTTTATTTAGGTAGATAATGAGCCTTTTCCAGATGTAAAACTTTCCCACCAGAACACTTCAGGTAGAATCATGCCTAAGCGTAGGTTTTCTTCACAATAAGCGGGTGCATACCAAATCAAGTAAGCCTGAGAAGAGCAAAAAGCTGAGTTTATTAACAGCACTAGTAACCTAGTGTCAAACTGTTTAGTATAAAAACCAAAGCCTAAAACAAATTGTAGCTTCAGTAACTGTCGAGTTTTGATGCTATTTTCCGAGAATAAGAGAAGGTGGTTATTGTTTTTCGTCAGTTTCGTAAGACGAAATCTTCAGGCGACTGCTTTCACAACCTAATTCACACTCTAAAAGTATATAGTTTAAGCACATTTAGATAAGTCTCCTGCGCTCTTGCTCATCTTGCTTATTTGCGTGACTCATATCACTATTACCTCTGTAGGACGGTTTAGCAACTTCTAAATAGAAGATAGAGAGAAGGAGGGCATTGGATCTAGATTCCGTTGCACGGAAAAAGATACTTTGTATATCCTCGATGTATCTGCATCTGAATGGATGCCAGCTCCTATTGTCTGGAGAAACTAGGGCCTTTAACTCAGAGGCTTTTCTTCTTGTTAGTAGAATGACACCACTGGCAAAGATTTTTATATTTTCCGCACTAGAAATTGTCTTAAAATCACTGCTCAATGACACTACTGATTCGGGTATGCATACTAACCAGTAGTGGTAATATCTTGAGGACTTTTCGGCTGCTGACCATTGATACTTCGTCAACTTAGGCTTGCTACAAAGTCCCATCTTATCTACAACATTATGTACGTTTAGAGGTTGTTTGACCTTGTTTTCGCAACGTGGTCATATTGGTAGGAAGACTTAAAGGAACGCTCCTAGTCCGGGGTTCATTGTCTGCATGA